TATATATATATATCTGTGTGTGTGTGTATCAACATGACGCAAACTCATACATGAAACTGTGTTATGGAAAGATAATTATGTTGTTCTAATATAATAAACAAATGACGCTTGGAATAAAGCTAGCAAGTAAATGTGTCCTCTAATTAAAAGTAAGTGAGCAAAAATGGATATTACCCATGTGACGACACACGCAGCTTTCGTAGTGACAAGAAGAAAGCTTTTTCATCCACTTTGTTAGAGTCCGTCTTGAATCTTCATAATTTTTGGGGTGTTATTTTCATTACTAGTTTCTTTTTTATTATTACTTATATTGAGTATATATTTTACGCTGTTAAATGTTGTGATAGTTAATTGCATTTAAACAAGAAAGAGCACTTAAACTGATGTGGCTTGATTTGTTAACACATTCAACACCACACTCATAGCAGTTATAAGTTAAAAAAAAAAAGGAAAGAAAATGAATGCGCATGAGTAAGTCGAATAAGCTTGTAGTGCATCATGGGGGAAAAATAATGGCGGACGTTGGAGTAAGTGTACTTCGAGTAAAGTTTCTGGAATTGGTGAGAAATGTGAAGTGTATGTATACTAGATTTTTAATTACATGAATAGATAAACTGTTGTTTTCACATATAAAGTCATAATGATATAACAAGGTAAGCAGCTTGCGTAACTCTGTTTTATGTTTTTATTATATTCGTTAAACTAATTTAAAAGTTAAACAGTAAATTAAGTAATGGCAGCATAGCCATAACGGCGTAAGCTTATGTATGCAATTTTCGGCCTGTTTTAAAATTTTTTACACTATTCTAGTACTAGTAGTAGTAGTATATTAAGCTAGATTAGAGATAAAAAAGGCGTCAATCTCTCTTTTATATGTACTTTATATTTTTAATGCATTTGCCAAGCTAAAAACATGTATAACTAGTATAAGTATAACTTATACTGTATTTTATATATTTCAAAAGCACAAAATAAGGCCAATATCATAATTAATAATACATGTCATTTAGCTGACTCAACTGTCTAACATCAAAACATTTTACATGTTATCGTTAGTGTTAGATTTAAGTAGGCAATTAATGTAATGTCAACAACATACTCTAGCTTTCTTTACTTTAGGCCCAGGCATAATGATTTGAATAATTAATATATTGATAAGTTAACAATTTGTATAAGAAAATGAGACAAAATTGAATTTTGATAATGAACTTAAAGTAAAAGTGAAACATACAACTTAATTTAGAAAGGTTTGATTCTTAGAAAAAAGTACATGCAACTAAACTGCAAACAAACTCATAATCAATATGTGCCTAACATTGTTAGTAACAAATATTATAATAATGGATTTTAACATAGCATTTATTTTCAGAAATTCAAATTCAACCAAACAAAAGTAATGTAAGAAAGTGAATTATTGAATGTAAATTGTGTATTATGTGCAAATGATATAGTAATGTAAATTATTCCTAGTCACACTTGTTGAAGCATATATATATTTATATTATTATATAAACAAACTCCCTCACTACATAATGAGGACACACAGTGCAACAGTTTTAAAAGTTGTATTATAAAGTATTAATCAGTGATAAAATAGTTATTGTACCATATTTTTGAGTTTTCTAAAATTACTTGAATTAAAGTATGAAGTGAAGGTATAGAAAATCATTGTGGCTTTAGCATTCTTTGGTAAAATATGTTAGTTCTCTAAGCTTATTGTTACAAGTACAGTTCTAATTATATGTGCTGTGCAGAACTTTAAGGTCAAGTGCTGTTAAAAGTTTCTGGTTAACTGTAGTGCAGAAATGATAATATTTGATTCACTACACAAACAACATAAGGTATGTTGACAGAAAGACATTTGGCATATTGAAACCATACCTCAACCAAACAATAAAACACTATGTAAATACTTTTAAATATATCCTGTTAAATCCATATGTCTGTCCAACAGTATTTCAAGATAATTCAAGCTAGAAGCACAAACCACCTGTGTATCAGGCCAACCATTTCACATGTTTATAAACAAAGGAAGAAATCCAAGAACAAGTCTGCATTTAGGCTTCCAAAGCTTAAAACTATGTCTAATATTCAAGTTTGTATTTCCAGCATTTTCATTCCATCACTCAGGCAGCCAAATTTTAGGTAGACTGTCAAGCTTGTAACAAATATGATTACCTGAACTGAATTCTGCTTTTCTCTGATTCTTCTGTGCTTAGAAACTAGTCCAAAACCTAGCTGCAGCATCTTATACCAGGAATCTTTCTATTAGCTCATTGTTGTGCTTCTTCCAACATTTTAGCTTTTTTTTTTCTGTATGTGGTATGGGGACCAAAGCTCCATGCAGTATTTCAGATAAGAACTTACCAGAGATTCATACAAAACTATATTAATCTTTTTTTTTAAGATCAGAATTTTAGATACAGAAGTAAAAACCTGTTAGTGTTTTCACTACAGCTGAATTCCATTTTTTCATATGATAGCCAGTTCAATTGTTTAAATACAAATAAAAAAAGTTCTTTCTTAGCTAGTATAGTTATATGATATAACTAAATAACAATAAAATATAGAATGTTATGAACAATAGTGCATGAATCCTCACTTTTTTTTTTCACAGCAACACATTTTACATCACAGAGGTTCTTTACAAATTTTTTCATTTCAAGTGTATAATTTTACACTTCTCGGTGTTAAAGTTATCTTCCACTCACTGATACATTTGCTAAGACTGTGAAAGGTCTTTTGGATAAAAGAAACATTTTCAACAGAATCTTCTTTTTCCAACATTTTAGTACCAACAGCATATTTAGAAATTACTATTGTCAAAAAGAGTATGCAAATGTTTAATATAAATAATGAAGAAAATTTTGAAACCAAATTTTTGAGTGACCAACTAGTCACATTTTTCCATTTGTAGACATTCTCTAAGCTGATCTGTGGCATATAGGAAGAGCAGACAGGGCATCTGTCTCGGGGACCATCTGACCTACTCAGTCACTACTTAAAAAGGTCTACTTATGAGATAAATAAAATTAATACTTTCTGTATTTAGGTGTAGAGCCAGGCAATTTACTCAATTAATTGATTACCTATGTCCTTTGATCACATCACTTAATGTCATATAAAGTAATTGATTAATTGGAATTCTAATTAAATTGATTAATGTCACAAAAACAATCAACTAATCAAAATTAATGTTTCAAATTGTTGAAGGTATCAAAGATAATAGGAAAGAGATTGAATCCATTTGGGTTTATATTAATGGATCTAAAGGGAAAAGGCTTTTAGTGGGAATTTGTTACAAACCACCAAATGATACTGATAAAATTAATGAGCAACTTTACAATGAGATTAAGATTTCAGCTTTTAATGAAGTCATAATTATGGGTGATTTTAGTTTCAGGCATACAGATTGGGAAATTCTAGTCAAACCATGAAGGGAGAAAGGTTTTTGAAACTGTTCAAGCTGGCTTTTTTCACCAGTTAGTCAAGGAACCTACTAGAAACAATGTATTTTAGATTTATTGTTAACTTCAAATATAGAAATGATCATGAGGGTGGAAATTGGGGAACATCTGGGTGCAAGTTATTATTGCTCTATTAGGTTCATCGTTTTGCTGCATATGGAATTAAGGAATAATGATATTTTGGTTACAAATTTCAAAAAAGAAAATTTTGAAGGAATGCAACAAGAATTATCTGTTTTGAATTGGGCAGTTGAGTTATTTGGAGACATTGATCAGATGTGGAAAATTTTTAAAGATAAATTGTTAAATATTCAAGATAAACATATTCCT